GTGCCCAGAAGGTGTTGCACCCCAACTCCACGAGAATGGAAGCCCCTGTTCTCAGGATTTTTCCAGACCTCACCCTATATAATCCCTTCATCTGGCTATTTATTCGTATTATTTAAATAAAGGTATTTAATTAATTAAATAATGTGTTTTCTTTCTTTCACTGTCAGAAATATTTGTATCCTTTAAAATAAATATTCTTTTTTTTTTTTTTTTTGAGACAAGAGTCTCCCTGTCACCAGTCTGGAGTGCAGTGCAGTAGCGCGAGCTCGGCTCACTGCAACCTCTGTCTCCCAGGTTCAAGTGATTCTCCTGCCTCAGCCTCCCAAGTAGCTGGGACTACAGGCTTGTGCCACCATGTTCAGCTAAGTTTTGTAATTTTAATACAGACGGGGTTTCACCATATTGGCCAGGATAGTCTCGATCTCTTGACCTCATGATCTGCCCACCTTCGCCTCCTAAAGTGCTGGGATTACAGGTGTGAGCCACCCTCCCGTCTTCTTTTTTTTTTTTTTTTTTTGAGATGATCACTCTCTTGCCCGGGCTGGACTGCAGTGGCACCATCTTGGCTCATTACAACCTCTGCCTCCCAGGTTCCAGTGATTCTCTTGCCTCAGCCTCCCGAGTAGCTGGGAATACAGGCACTCACCACCATGCCTGGCCTTTTTTTTTTTTTGAGACAAACTGTCACTCTGTTACCCAGGCTGGAGTGCAGTCGTCTGATCTTGGTTCACTGCAACTTCCACATCTGGGTTAAAGCGATTCTCATGCTTCAGCCTCCCGAGTAGCTGGGATTACAGGTGCCCGCCACCACACTTGGCCCAGTTTTTTATTAGTAGTAGAGACTGGGTTTCGCCATGTTGGCCAGGCTGATCTTGAACTCCAGATGTCAGGTGATCTACCCTCCTTGTCCTCCCAAAGTGATGGGATTACAGGTGTAAGCCGCCATGCCCGGTCTAAAATATCCTTTTTAATAAACTGGTAAACATGTTTCCCTGAGCTTTGTGAGCCACTCTAGCAAATTAATCAAGCCCAAAGAAGGGACCATGGAAACCCTAACTTGAAGCTGGTTGGTCAGAAGTTCCAGAGGCCTTGACTTGTAACAGGTATGTGAAGCAGGGGAAGTCTTGTGGGACTGAGCCCTCAACCTGTGGGATCTGACACTATCTCTAGATAGATAGCACAGGAATTGAGTTGCATTAGAAGATGCTCAGCAGGTGAATTGCTTGCTTACCTGTTGGGGAGCAGTCTCCCATATTTGGTCACAGAAGTGTTCTGTGTTGATTGTTGGGGTGTGAGAGCCGAGGATAAAGAGTTTGTTTTTCAGCCCCTCAGGTTTTTACAGAGGTAATCCAGTTAAATGAAGTCATTAGGGTCGGCCCTAATCCAATGTGAGTGGTGTCCTTATAAGAAGAGGAGATTTGAGCCGGGCATGGAGCTCATGCCTCTAAGGAGGCCAAGGTGGGGGGATCACAAGGTCAGGAGTTTGAGACCAGCCTGGCCAATATGGTGAAACCTCATCTCTACTGAAAATACAAAATTGGCTGGACATGGTGGTAGGCACCTGTAGTCCCAGCTACTCAGAAGGCTGAGGCAGAAGAATTGCTTGAACCTGGGAGGCAGAGGTTGCAGTAAGCTGAGATTGTGCCACTGCACTCCAGCCTGGGCGACAGAGCGAGACTCCATCTTAAAAAAAAAAAAGAAAAAAAAAGGAGATTTGAGGGATCAAAAACTCAATGGAAGATGATGGCAGACATGGCGGTGAAGCCAATGAACAGCGGAGTGCCAGAAAACTACCAGAAGATTGGAAAGAGCCTGGAACAGATTCTCCCTTCTAGAGGGAACCCATCTACACTTTGATTTTGGATTAATGCCCTCTAGAACTGTGAGAAACTAAATTTCAGTTGTTTAAGTCCCTAGTCTGTGGCATTTTGTAATGGAAGCCCTAGCAAATGAGTACAATACCCCACTCTTTCCATCAAGAGGTGGAGTTGATTTATCCTTCCCTTGAATATGGGCTGGCCTTATGACTTTCTTCAGCCATAGAATGTGGTAGAAATCACGGCTTGGCAGTTCTGAGTCTGGGTCTTAAGATGTTTGGTTGTTTCCATATTCACCCTCTGGGAAGCCAAGCCACCATGTGCTAAGAAAGTCTAGGCTCTTCTGCTGGGGCGGTCCCATGGAGAGGGGTCATTTTGATTGTTCCAGCTTCAGCTAAGCTTCCAGCTAACGTCCGCGGTCAATGTCACATACAGCAGAACTGCCCAGCTGAGTCTAGCAAACCCCCAAGCTTGTGAGAAATAAAAAATCATTGTTGTTTTAAACCACTATGTTTTGGGGGCAGCTTGTTACATAGCAATGGGTAACTGAGATGTACGTCTTCATTTTCTGGGGGGCAAGTACTCCAACATCTCTGCCACTGTTGCCCTTAAAGCCTCTAGCACCATCCTTGCCACCCTCCCGATGGATTCTGGGTGACTCCTGCCTCCTCACATTGCTTGCTTCTCTTCTTTTTTATTTTTTAAGAATATGTTCTGGCTGGTGCAGTGGCTCATGCCTGTAATCCCAGCACTTTGGGAGGCTGAGGTGGGTAGATCACCTGAGGTCAGGAGTACAAGATCAGCCTGGCCAACATAGCGAAACCCCGTCTCTACTAAAAAATACAAAAAGTTAGCTGGGCATGGTAGTGGGTACCTGTAATCCCAGCTACTCGGGAGGCTGAGGCAGGAGAATCGCTTGAACCTGGGAGGTGGAGGTTGCAGCGAGCCGAGATCATATCATTGCACTCCAGCCTGGGCAACAGGAGTGAAACTCTGTCAAAAAAACAAAACAAAGCAAAACGAAATGACAACAACAACACCAACAAAAACTAAGTACATTCTATTTGATGTTCCCAGCATTGCTCCTTCTATACACTAATTTTCAGTGGTATATCTTGTTGGTAGGGCCTGGGTGCTGCCAGTATTTCAGCTGCAAAGGAGACTGGGAAAGAATGTTTTCTGGCTTTGGTATGTGGTGAGGGGTTGGGGATTCATGACATGGAAAGGTCCCCTAACATAGAAGGATGTTCAAGGCCGGGTGCGGTGGATCATGCCTGTAATCCCAGCGCTTTGGAAGGCTGAGGGGAGCAGATCACCTGAGGTCAGGATATCCTGGCCAACATGGTGAAACCTCGTCTCTACTAAAAATACAAGAAAATTAGCTGGGCGTGGTGGTATGCACATGTAGTCCAAGCTACTCAGGAGGCTGAGGGAGGAGAATTGCTTGGACCTGGGAGGTGGAGGTTGCAGTGAGCGGAGGTTGCAGTGAGCCAAGATTGTGCCACTGCCCTTCAGCCTGGTGAAAGAGTGAGACTCCATCTCAAAAAAAAAAAAAAAAAGAGAAGGATGTTCAAAAGGTGCTGGCACCCCTGAAATCAAATGAAGGTCTTCAACCATGGCCAGTACTTTTTGGGAACTTAATGTGTTCTTGGCACACAGCTCTGGGTCTGTTCACCTTCTAAAGGTAAAGAGAGCCCTGAAATCACCTTTCGTCACTCTCCATCCGCATGAGTTAGGATGGATTGACTCCAGGGAGGGTGTGTGACTCAGACTCAACTAATTGGAACATCAGAACCTCAGTGATTAGTTTGGGATGATATGTGAACCATTCCATGCCAACTAGGTGTCACGTTGGCTTTTTGCTGAAATAAATGAGGACTTGGGTTGTGAGGGTGGAGCCTAGAGCTGCTGGAAGCCAACTTCCTACTGTAAAGAACAGAGATGAAAGATGGGGGAAGGAAGACCAAGTTCTGATGTATTTTGTGCTTCTTTGCACCTGAATCACCAGCTTTTATGTGAGCATATAAATTACCTGTCTGCTTACACCAAGCCAATTTGCATAGTTTCCCATTATTTCTAATTCATCAAGTCCATATTAATATTTTTATTTAATAAACTCTTTTAAATTATTTTTATTTTTATTTTTTGAGGCAGTGTCTTGCTCTGTCGCCCAGGCTAGAGTGCAGTGGTACGATCTAGGCTCACTGCAATCTCCACCTCCCAGATTAAGCGATTCTCCTGTCTCAGCCTCTTCAGAAGCTGGGGTTACAGGCGAATGTAACCATGCTCGGTTAATTTTTGTATTTGGCGGGGCATAGTGGCTCATGCCTGTAATCCCAGCACTTTGGAGGCCAAGGCGGGTGGATCACCTGAGGTCGGGAGTTCAAGACCAGCCTGACCAACATGGTGAAACCCCATCTAAAAAAAAAAAAAATTTTTTTTTTGTATTTTTAGTAGAGGCAGGGTGATCCGCCTGTATTGGCCTCCCAAAGTGCTGGGATTACAGGCATGAGCCACCGAGCCCAGCTTTATTTAATAAACTCTTTGGAGTAGGTACTATTTATTAACCCTATTTTACAAATGAAGAAACTGAAGCTAAGAGATTTAAGTCGTTTACCTAAGGCTACGTAGGGGCAGAATTCAAATTCTGAGGGCTAACGAACAAATATTCCGCTCTCCTTGGTGACCCAGGAAGATTCACAGAAGTGGGTGTCACCTATAGACTGACATTTAACCCTAAGAGGGCACAGGGATTTGTGGGGAAAAGTACGGAGAAGAGGCTTCCAGGGGATGGAACAGCCTGGTCAATGACAAGGCCTTTTCTGCTGAGAGAAAACCTCACCTGAAATTCACTTGCCCAGTCCTGAAGCCTGTCCCCAAACGGTTCTCTCTTGGAGGGGGAGCATCAAACCTCATTTCTCCAGGGCGACCTCTACCCTCCAGGCTTCTGAACCTCTGCCGCCCCATGCTCCGCGCCGGGGCCTGTCCCGCGGTGGGTCCCCTGCGGGAGGAGGACCGTGCTAGCGAGGGACTTGATGCGGGCTCAGATGGGGGCGCGGGGCCCGGGTTTCCGAGGCAGGGATCGAGCAGTCTCGGGCTTCAGTGGACTCCAGCTTCCCGGCTCCCGGCGGGTCGGGTCGGGGGAGGAGCTCGGCGCGTCCCCGCCCAGAGGCGGAGCGGAGGGCCGGGCCCGAGCGGGGTGGGTAGGGGACGCGAGGCGGAGCGGGGCCCCACACAGGCCGCGGCGGCTGGCTCGGGCCCCTACGGTCCCGGCGGCGGCTGGAGGAGGAAGCCAGGCGGCTGGCGGAGGAGGAGAGACGGAGGAGGCCGAGGCCGGAGCGCCGCTCGCCGCAGACTTACTTCCCCGGCTCAGCAGGGAAAGGTACGGGGCGCCGGCTCTCCGGCCGCGGGCCCGGGTTCTCAGCCTCCCCCCCAGCGCAGGCAGGGGCTGCGGCTGCCGCGAGAGGGTGAGGGGCCCGGAGCGGTCCCCGAGGGCTCGGTCGGCCCGGGGTTGGGGCGGCCAGCGCGGCGCTCAGGCGCTCGGGCGGGGGTGCGGGGCGTTCCGGTTGGCTCGCAGGAGCGGTGGGCGCCGCGCCCCCCTGACTCCTGCGGGGGAAAGCAGTGGTTTGGGCCGGGGTGGTGGCGATCCCGGCGCCAGAGCTGCGCGGCCCGGGCTGGGCGCTGTGGGTAGAGGGCCGGCCGGACCCCCAGGCTGTGTGCGGGAGGGGAGCGTCCAGGGCGCCAGCAGGCGCGCTCCGTGGGCGCAGACAAAGCCGGGCGCGGACGCCCCGCGACGACTCGGGCTGCCAGACGAGTGGGCACCGGGGAGAGGAGAGGTGGCTCCCGGGTGATGACCCGAGCGCCGATAGAGGCTGGGCTGATTTCTCCCTCTGGGCTCCGGGCGTCCGGGTAGTCCCCTTGGGAGCCCCGGGCAGGGAGAGGAGCAGCGTTCTCCTAAGGGCCAACTAGGGGCTCATGGGTTGCCCCGGGCTTAGCGGGAGCCGGGCTCGCAAAGAGATCGGTGTGTTCGAGGGCTCACAGTGGGGGAGGGGCTGAGGAAAGCCACTGCCCTGGGGTGGGGGCGAGAGCTCCATTACTGCAGATGAGGGGCCCGTGGAGCTTGAGCCAGGGGGGCTTGGCCTGATGAGATACGCGAGGTGGCTGGCACGCATAGTGAGAGGTAGCCACAGGTTGTTTGCAGAGCCTGCTGTTGGTGGCACATCACATACCAGTCTGTAGGGGCAACTTGGCCGTGATTGGAGCCAGCAGCAGGTGCTTCAGGGTTACAGGGAGCAGCGCAGGCCGAGGTGCCAAGCATCCGAAAGTGTGTTTAGGGAAGGCCCCACATTTGCTTTCGGCCACCCCTGCCCCCTTCCCTCTTGTTAGGATGAGGAAGCATCCCAATTCTTGCCGCTGGCTCTGCCTCCGCTGGGGCTCCAAGGTCCTCCCCCGTCCCCCTTTCTGCAGTTACCTCCCCTCTTTCCAGTGTTAGAAGCAGCTCCTTTCCACCGAATCGTCCACAGCACTATAAGAAATATGCTTTGGCACACTGTCTCCCCAATTTTAGAGCCCCCTTTTTGCCTTAATCCCTCATTCCCTCCAGCTTCGGACCTTCTTCCCTTCACCGCAGAACTTCTCTGGCAAGCCTTCTGCACTCGCTCGTTCAGAGCACAGCTCTTCGGTTCTTTAGCGGGCTTGCCCTGACTGCTTCGGTCCCACCCCTTCACTGAAACGGCCTCAGCCCAGCTCTCCAGTGAGCTCCACGCCCCCACAAGCAGGTCTTCTTCCATCTCTCCTGGTCTCCTTCAATACTCTCCTTCAAGAACCAGTGTCCTCCCTTGGCTTCTTCTGGTTTTCTTCCCTCCTTGGCTGCCTTTTTTCTTAGATTTCTTTTCAGACAACTCCTTCACTCAGCTCCAAATGTTGGAGGACCCCAGGGCTCTGTCTGTGGCACCTTTCTCTTCCCTATTTATAACCCCCTCCCGTTTCATTCTTTCTTATGATTTTAAAAATCAAGCATCAATTTGCAAACACACAAATCTTAAATGTTCGTCGTTCTCATGATTTTAAAGAGCAAATTTTATCTCCACCCCCAGCCTCTCTACCTAACCCTCCATCTGATGGTTTATGATGTTCTGGATGACAAAAAACTTAATGCGGACGAAACAGAACCCTGCCGCCACTCCCCAGGCCTTCCCTTCTCAGTGAATGGCCCATCATCTACTCACCTTTTTTTTTTTTTTTTTGAGATGCAGTTTCACTCTTGTCACCCAGGCTGGAGTGCAATGGCACGATTTCCGCTCACTATAACCTCCGCCTCCTGAGTTCAAGTTCTCTTGCCTCAGCCTTCTGAGTAGCTGGGATTACAGGTAACCACTACTATGCCTGGCTAATTTTTGTATTTTTAGTAGAGATGAGGTTTCACCATGTTGCCCAGACTCGTCTCGAACTCTTGATCTCAGGTAATCCACCTGAGGCCTCTCAAAGTATTGAGATTACAGGCGTGAGCAACTGCACCTAGCCCATCTACTCACTTTTTAAGATGGGAAACAAGGGGGCACAACTCCACCAAGAGCAAGTCCTTTTGGTTCTTTTCACAACATTGATCTCAGGCCTGCTCTCTGTGCTCTGACTCCACTGTTATGCCCCAGGCTACCTGCCCTAAGCCAAGCCAAGCCACCTAACCCTCTCCCCAGGTCTGCACTTGCCCTCCTCTGATCTATTTTAGCAGAACAGCAAGAATGATATAGAAACTTTTGATGCGACCACCTTATTTCTCTAAAATTCTTGATAGTTCCCTATCACACTTGAATACAATCTTAAAGCTTTCCCCTAGCCTATCAGACCCTTCACATTCTGGCCACTGCTGACCTCCCCAGCCTTATCTTGACCACTGTCCACTTTGCATTCTCCCTGACAGACATATCTGAGTCATTTCTGCCCTCTGGACACACTAAGCTTTTTCCTGCCCCAGGACCTTTGCTTGTGTTGTCTTGTCTGCCAGGAGTGCTTTTCCAGTGCCCTTTACTGGCCTGGCTTTGCTCTTTCTTATTTTTAAGGTCTTCACTTAATTATCCATTCCTCAATGCCTTCCCAGTCTTGGGAAGTCCCCCATAATTCATCACAGCACCTGACTTACTTTCCTTATTATGTTTATCACAGTTTGCAACCATTTGTTACCGTTGTTTGTGTGCTTGATGTATCTAGCTTCTTAAGGGCTGGAACCCTGACTGAATGGACCAGTGCTGTATCTGGAGCATCGAGCACAGTGCCTAGCACAGAGTGGATGCCCAGGAAATCTTTAGCCAGGTGGGCAGGTTGGGGCTGGGTTGTGCAGAAAGGTGGGTATTGCAGTGAGCACAGGAGCCCCCTTTAAACCTCAAGTGACCTTGAGGATCTTTATTTTCTTTCCACAAAAGCAATTGTGCAGATTGCTGCAAGAATCTAAGGGCGGTAATGGGATGTGAAAAAGGGAAGGGGAGAAGGTACAGGCGGTTGGAGGGCAGGCCTGTATGCTGAGGGCAGCCGGTGGGCTGTGAGCCTGTGTTTGTCACTGTGGTTGGGAGAAATGATTTCCTTTGCTTTCTTTGGTAGAAATCCAGGCTGGGTCAGCAGAGGGATATGTGTGCATGTTGGGTGGGAGGGAGATCAGATCCTCTAGCTCAGGAGATGTGGGCAGTCTGGGCAACCAGGGATTGATTTCAGCCCACTCTCTTGGGTGACTGCTGGGTGCAGTCTCTCTTTAGACCCCTGCCTTTCTACCCACAGCTCTTCAGTTTGCCCAGAGGAGCCAGTTGAGCATTGAATTGTGTGACTGGATGAAAGACCAAGAGCCAGGGGACCAGAGATCTGGGAGGAAGGGGAGCTGGGCCCCGGACAGGGGGACAGGGGCGGACCGAGGTAACACCATGGGGTGGATGTTAGAGCTAGAGGCGGTGGTTCAGATCTGGGATCAGGCTGGCATGACTAGGAAAGGCCTTGAGCTGGGAAAGGAGGGGATGAGGAGGGCATCCTGGGTGGGAGGAATCAAGCAGAGGCCAAGTGGCAGGGCAGGGCCCCGGCATACTCACTGGATGCCCCACATTGTTGTAAGGACTCAGCAAATGTTAACTCCTTTAATCCTCTTAACGGCTCTATAAAGTAGGTCTTATTCCCATTTTACAGATGGGAAGACTAAGGCACAGTCATACAACTAAATAATGACAGAGTGAGGATTCAATTCAGCAGCTTGGCTCTGGAATCCATGCTTGAAACCACTCCACTCTGTCACTTCTCTCATGCTTCTGTTTTTTTTTTTTGAGACGGAGTTTCGCTGTTGTTACCCAGACTGGAGTGCAATGGCACGATCTCGGCTCACCGCAACCTCCACCTCCTGGGTTCAAGCAATTCTCCTGCCTCAGCCTCCCGAGTAGCTGGGACTACAGGCGCGCACCACCATGCCCAGCTAATTTTTGTATTTTTAGTAGAACGGGGTTTCACCTTGTTGACCAGGATGGTCTCGATCTCTTGACCTCGTGATCCACCCGCCTCAGCTTCCCAAAGTGCTGGGATTATAGGCGTGAGCCACCGTGCCCAGCTGCTTCTCAGTTATGTGTCAGCTGAGGGATTCCTAACAAGAGGCTTTTCCTGCTTCCCAGAGTTGCCTGGCCTGGAGGCTGCGGAGATGGGAAAGACGTTACACCCTTGGCCGGGCACAGTGGCTCATGCCTGTAATCCCAGCACTTTGGGAGGCCGAGGTGGGTGGATCACGAGGTCAGGAGTTCAAGACCATCCTGACCAACATGGTGAAACCCCGTCTCTACTAAAAATACAAAAATTAGCTGGGCGTAGTGGCACATGCCTGTAATCCCAGCTATTCAGGAGGTTGAGGTAGGAGAATCGCTTGAACTCTGGAGGCGGAGGTTGCAGTAAACTGAGATTACACCACTGCATTCCAGCCTGGGTAACAGAGCAAGACTCCATCTAAAAAAAAAAAGTTGCATCCTTTAAGGTAGCAGGGGTCCTTGCTTGGAGTGGGTAAGCGAGTTTTTCTGCTTCATGCCCCACTTTTTCTTCCAGGAGGGGCTCCGGACCCAGGCCAATGGGTTGGGCATCATGTACACTGTGATTTTGGGGTGCTGGGAAGGTCTACTGCTTCTGGCTCAGCTATTGTTCTCTGTCTGAGACGCCATCATTAGAATGTCACCCTTCTGGATTTAGTATTGCTCTTGTCATCTGCCTGTAAAATGGGATTAGAAGGACTTTTTTTCTTTGCTCCCTGAAGGTCACATGCTTGAGTGCCTTCTCCGTGTAGACTCTGTGAAAGGAGGAAAGACTTCCCGGGGGATGCCAGGCTGAGGAACTGGGCCAGGAAGGAGGGAGGAGGGTATGACAGCTCTGCCC